ACCTTCTGTGCATGAGAAGGAATGATTAATACTCATTAGGAAAAACAAGTAACTAAAAACTAAACTTCGTGCGTGGATTTAGTCATCACCAATAAAAACTGTGTTAAGAAAATATTTTCCCAGTGTTAATGCAGCAATATAGTACCATAGTGCCATAAATAACTATTTAATTTGAAGCAGCTTTTCTAACATTATGTAACTCCTTCTTGGACTATTAATTTATATACTGCAAGATTTATTCACTACACAAATCTACGCTTTCATCCACCAGCAGAAGTACCTATTGATAACAAATAAGGGAAATAAAATGTATGTCCTCTTAATATATAAACGTTGCATTAGTCACTAAGTCTCCAGATAAGTCAGAAGTCTGCAATCCTAATATTCAGAATAGTGGAAAACAAACAGAAGGGCCCTGTAGCTATGTTCGCAATCTGTCCTAGCAAAACATCTGACAGCTGCAACACTAACAGAATTAACAGTGGAAGAATTAGTACCAGACGCTAAACAGTTGCTATAGAAAGACTCATCCGTTTCTCTTCTTCTTCCTCTCTTCTTCAACCTGGCTACCCCACCACTTGACAAAATTAACACTCACTATCATTTTTTCCCTTTGTTATTTAAAAAAAAATGCACCATAAATACCCTTTCATACACAAGATGATGAACTTCACTCTGCAATCTCCCTAGACTCTTAAAGATGCAGCTTGCAGCTGAAACGACTATGTCCCCAGATCTCTTCTTTTGAGCAGAAAATACACGTACACTTGCAGAGTGTTCCCACTTACGGGCTCTAGGATTCCACTCAGTGTCATTACAGGGCTGCCAACTGAACAAGGCAGCATCTGCTCCCTTTCTTTACAAGCTCCCTGTCCACACCTAGCCTCATTTCTAAGTGACTTCACCTCTTCCTTTATGTTCTTCCTTCCTTCCCTGCTTCTTTGCTCTTTTCCCACTGAGCACATCTCAAATGATTTGAGTAAGGATGTCTAACTCAAGTGCTAGCACTCAAACTCATCCTGGAACAGCTGAAGCAAACTCTTGAAATCCTACAAGGGCAAGTGCTCCCCTCCCCAGAAAAATAAAAAATAAAAAAAGTGACTCTGGATATCAAATTCAGAAGTTCTTCAGGAATTGAATTGCAAATGAGGGCAAGTGTCATGTGTTAAACTATACAGTTTCTATATCACTTCTATCTCTCTTCTATATCTAAAAGGGAGCTACAGAAAAGAAGGGGACCAATTATTTAGTAAGTTGTGATAGAACAAGGGGAAATGTTTTCAAGCTTAAAGAGAGTAGATTTAGGTTAGATATAAGGAAAAAGTATTTTACAGCGAGGGTAGTGAGGCACTGGCACAGGTCCCAGAGATGTGGTTGATGATTCACCCCTTGAGACTTTCAGTGAGAGGTTGGCTCAGGCCCTGAGCAACCTGGTCTAGCTGCAGTGTTCCTGTTCATTGCAGGGGAGGTGGATGAGATGGCCTTCAAAGATCCCTTTCAAATCCAAGGATTCTATGATTCTATCTCACATCAATTGATCCAACATGAAAATATGTCGTTACTCTGCTAGAGGCGTAAAAAAGAAATCCCAAACCCATCAGAACAGATCAGTGTAAATATAGATGTGTTTAAAAAAGCTTGAAATACACTTTTCTTCTCCAAGCATCCAGGCACAGTAGTTGCTTTACCTGAGGTATCTAGTTAGCTAGATAAATTAGTGTGTTTATATATAATTTATATATAAATACAAATATCCAAATTGTGCTACTATGGAAAAGCAATCATTTTTGAAGGACCAATCTCCTGCCACACATGATAAAAATGTTACTGGGAAATCACTGTCGTACTCAAAAGTCTAAACTCTGCACAATCACTCAGTGTGTCTCCCTGTTTTGTACACTATAAGCAACTTCTCAAACTAATGTCATGGTAAAGACAAATACAGGGCTGGAAAGGTAATTCCTCAGTCACTGACTCCAACTCCTACTACCACAGACAAGTGCATCTTAGACTCTCTCTAAAGTATTTCATAATCTCTTTACTGAAGAAAGGTCATATTCTGCATAGTGAAACTGTGACAGTGAGATATTTGATGGGGAAAGAAGTTAAAAAACTGAAATCAAGCTGCAATTGGACTCAGAAATCTTCCATGTGCAATATAAAAAACTAAAACAACAGCATTAAATGTCCTTCACTTGTGCTCTTTTCCCCTGGCATTAGCCTATGTGTCTTTCTCTGACAACTCTCTCTGAAATATCAACATATTTTTTCAGTGCAGTTATTCTCTTTTCACATTCATCCTCTTGTCTCTTTAGCAGAGATGCTGTTTGAGCTTTTACCCTCCTGGAAGCTTTTCGCTCTAAGATGCAAAATGTAACCCCTGCTCCTATTTTGAGGAGGTACAGATACAGGTCATTCCAACTAAAAATGGAAAGTTGATGGAAATACAATAGCCAAAATTTTTAAAAATGTGAGTTGAAATGAAACACATAAACTTTTTATCTAGATCTGCAGAGGTACAAATGATGGTATTTTTTAGAGAGAGGTAAAATTGAGGTAAAAATCTCTTGTTATTGAAGTCTTCAAATAATTTCACCTAGTAGTCACCATACAAGACCTGTAAGTGGTCAGAGGGGAGACAGAATTCAGAATCCAACCTAAATTCTAGACCAAAAGGAATCACAGAATCATAGAATGCCCTTGGTTTGAAAAGGAACACAATGATCATCTAGTTGCAACCCCCCTGCTATGTGCAGGGTTGCCAACCACTACACCAGGCTGTATTCCCTGAGTCTTTAGTTTTGTACGACAAATGGGTTACATTTAAATAACAGAAGTAATATTTCTAATGAGAATTGTCAAGGATTCTTCAGGAGCAGGAAGTGAAGGACAATCCATTCACCTACACAGTTTTCTAACATGCATCACTGGGGATCCATGTGAGAACATGCACATGTATGCTCCCCTCACTTGATCTTCATAACTTTTGAGGCTAATAGACAAATTCAAGCAAAACTGATGACAATTATATTTCTTTGAAGTTTATGAAAGTAAGAGTCTAGTTAGTAACATAAGGGAAACTATAAATAATGTGTCCCTTTAAAGTTGAACCTTTCCAAACAGCAGAGAATCCACACAGGAGGACAAAGCTGCTGCTTGCAGAATTGCTTGTTAAGTGAAAAGAGTTTGTGCAGGTCCTAATGCAGGTCTCTAAAATTGCTTCGTTAACGCAATGTCTTAGCAGGATTCAGAAAGCACCTTGAGGAGAATGCTGCAGCAATGCAGACTTCCTCCTAGCTGGGACTCCCATAGTTTTGCTATCCTATCTCTTTCACTTCAGCTTTGCTAAGGAGTGGAAAGCCAAACTTTAAAAAACAGAAAAAGATCTCATAAAAATGGCATGACAGAACACTGCATGCATCTTGTTTTAGTTATAGGCAGTAAATGTATTCATTTTGCAAAGACTCCCATTTCTTCTGCTACTAACAATGCAGATTGCTGAATCTGCTGAAATTCTCCCTTTCTTCTCTCTTGCCCACCATCAACAACAAAAGAATCACGAGATCAAACCTTCTATCCTAACCATGCATGCACTTACAGTCCCTGTACACATAACTTCGTGCCAACAGGATGTGGCCTTCATTACTGATACATGTGTCAGGAAAGGACTCATTTCAGTTAGGTCTGTTTTGCAAGGCTAAACAGATTCTAGGATTTAATAATGTTTCATCACCTGATGACTACACAAATATAAAAACAGAAGGCAAATACAAACAGCTGTGATTTCAAAAGTGCAATGTCATCTGAAGTGCAGTGCATTGTTATTACTTTATAATCACTCTTCTGACTTGGGCTTCAAAATATGTTTAACACGTCCTTTTCTCTTCCACTCTATTATTAACAGAGAAAAAGCTACTGTTCCTATTTAACAATTTCCCTTCCACTTCTTTACCAAGTTTTGTACTTACAATTACTTTTTTGAGTCATCCTCAAAACACGAGAGCAAAGAACATAACTTCCTTGTATATTTTTCTTTCAAGCAGATGATGCTAAACAGAGAACACTACTATTTGATTCAAAATCACTGTAAGGACATTTTACATACACTTCCTTTTACAACTCAAAAGAACCAAAAATAAGTCAAGTACAACAGAAAAAAAAAAAGTATAATATTAAGGAGGATAAATTAAGTGTATTAGGTGGTTTCTGTTTCTGAATTAAATGGTCTCCAATCCAGCCTAAAAGCTAGTGTTTCTTTATCGCATATTTTGAACCCGTATTTGCACAGCTATGTTTAAGCTGTTTTTACAGCTTATTTTGCTTGTAAATATTAAAATATCTGCAAAAGCTTTTAAATGGGTCCTCCACAGGTGTTTTAAAAAGCAAGACTTTTTGCATCATAACTGAAGATAACTACAAAGCACCACTGTAAGCATTTTCCACACCAAGAAACAGGGGCTTCTTTAGGGCTTCTAAGCACTTTGCAATCTGGTGTCATAAGCCATTTCAGTACTGCTTTACATCTTTACTTGTTAGAATCTTTTTGATTTTGAAATGATGCCAAGGACAGACATCATAGCAGAGGTTTCCTATTTAAAAGGTCAGTTTGTTGGTGTTCTTTTTTTTTCCCAAAGCATCTGAACAGTACTAGCACAACTTTAATCTAATATGCAGCCTTCAACAAAACCTGAAAGTTAATGGTATTCGTTTTTGTTTTAGCAAATCCTCTTCTGCTTCTTTAAACCCCAGTGAAAGCCCATTGCTTGTCAGCAGTTAATGGCTGAGACATGCACTTCATGAAAAGCAATTACAACTTGGAGTGCAACATGGAATCTGACAACTTTAAAACACAAAGATGATGTTCTCTGGACCACTCAGTAAAAAGCTAAGAGCGTACTAGAAAGCACAACAGACATGGTACACACTTAGAAACACATCACAGTAAATTAGTAAATTTAGGGGAAAAAAACAGTTATTGGCAAGATACTGGCAGTACATACTTCTGACAAAGCTGGCTGAACAGCACTTTGGGAGAAAGAGGACCTCTTCCAGCCTCTCTCATGCTGTGAAGGAATAAGAACATCGCTGAAGTCAAGGGTCCTGGGCTGGAGAGGTTTACCACCAAAGGATCCTTCAAAGTAAAAGTAAAATATGCATCAACTTCAAAATGAGTGACACACAAGTCTTATTTCAGGTTAATACATTTATCACAAAGAGCAAAGTAACTTTTAGTCTTGGGCAGTTTGACTCTTTAAAAAAGCTTGATGTCACCTAAAGACAGTGAAAGAGCAAACTTATTAACTAAACCGTAATAATAACAATACCAAGAAATTCTCAGCGAACAAACTGGCTGTTAACCAGTAATTTTTTTAAACAAGCATGTCCATTATTCCCAGAATTAAGTGAAATATAGGAGTGTTTACAGAAAAAGTCATGAGTTCTTAAACAGTGAGGTCTTTTTGCCAGGCTATGGTTCATCAAAGCTATCCATAAGGGAACATTCTTCCATTTTTTCTCTGAAACTAATTAGTAACAAACATAATGAAATCTTATTTACTCAATCTGTTTTTCAAAATATAAGCGCCAAGTGGAATTTGCCTTATATACCCCTTGCTTTATCTGTTTTACTCTTCTTCCCATATGTACTGAGCTGAGAGTTGCATACCGAAATTGTCACACATCCAGCAGCCACAGAAGCCCACCCTGCTCTCCCAGGCACCAAGCACCAGAAAGGCTCAGGCTGCAGTTCACAAGCAGAGGCTGACATCAGACCAGTGTAGACCAGCCATTTTTGGGGCAACCTGCAGGACATGGCATCATCTTCTCCAGGTTAAGACTCACACCTCCCAGCAGGTCCCAGGGCTGCAGGGAACTGACCAGAAGCAAAGCATGCTTCTGAGTTGCTTTGGGGCTACTTGCGTTCAGAAAGCTGCAGGCCATTGGCACTCCTTCACATGCCCCTAGGTTCATCCTTGGTCCCAATGTCTACTGGTCTCCTGATCCTCACAAAAACAGATTACAATTTCCAGACAAACAACTAGAGAGTGTGTCTCTTCTAAAAACAGAACTGAACAAAATATAAGCTTTATGGATGCACAAACACATAAAGTAATCGCATCACATTATATGCACTATCAAAACTTGAGAAATACCCTTTACCAAGCACAAAGCTAGCAGTTTCCCCATTACAATCAGTTAGGCTACTAAAGTCCTCTGATCCTCTGCTGACATACACAGACCACAAAATACATTCTGTGCTCCAAAGAGCTTACTTATTTTGTAAGCACTGTCATTAAAGAGAAAATAAATCTTTCAACCTTATGGCTGTGTAAGGTTCACATCACACATAAGCCAACATACCACTGCTTTTCTAAGCCTCCAGGCACAAACAAGCTCCAGACTTCAGTTGTGGCTGGGGAATAACTTGGTGAAACGTGTTGCTGTTCAGAACTGCCATTAGCGGTAAGAAAGGTAACAGTGCAATGAATTTCACACTGCTCTTGCCTGGAGAAGCTATGAGCAGCACTGAGAACAATTTACAGAAATCTTTGTAATTTCAGCAGTGTCTGAAAGATTCCCACCTCTCAATCCTTACCACCACCAGAAAGCTCCCAGCAACCAGCAGAAAGAAAGAAAAAAAAAGAAAAAAAACAAAACCAAAAACTCTGCAAAGTGCTGTCTTTAACTACCAGAGGGAAAGGAACACTATCCTTACTTCACCTGCCAACAATATATTATGAAAACGAGCATCTCTAAGAAGCAACAAGGAACTGTTGATCATAATGACAATAGTTTCTTTCCCATACGCCTCTGAGGACAAGACGTTTAGTCTACACTAGTATTTTGTTAACACTCCATCTGGGAAGCATGCATTACATTTTACAAGCCCCATCAATGTATTGCTGAGGCAGACCAGAATAAATATTTCATCAACACTTTATAGAGCCAGAAATACTCTGTCCTGTATTACACACACATATTGAAGAAACAAAATGGGAAACAAACATAAGCCACTCTTTCTTAGGGTCAAGAATTATTTGCTACTTCAGTGTTAGAAAATATGAAAGGAAGTGGCTGTTCTCCTTCTTTCAGGGCAGAACAATTGGTTTTGTCACAGACATCATAAACTGGCTGAACTACTAAAAGATAGCCATACCACCCTGACAATGCCCAATCTTGTCTACAATTCAAAGACAAAAAGAAACAGGAGAGTAAGAGCTCATCTTTAACAGAGATGTGATTTCCTTGCAGCAGCTTCTTCCCACGTTTGCCCAAATCCATATTTGTCACTGCATACTTACCAACTGGGAGTCTGAAGTATGACAGATTTTTAACTTTGTTCCTTTTTCCTTCATCTCGTACATCAGTTCATTAAGTATGTGAGTCTGTGCCAAATTCTGAAAGAAAAAATAAACAAATCCAAGAACACACCCATTTTTTTTACTATCCAGCTCTCTTTGTTTATAAATTCTATATTCAGGGTTAGACAAAACCAGACATATTTAATAATGTGCAAATGAGGTTTAAATCAGTAGAAAAAGCAGATACCACCCTTACCAGAGCTATCACTAATCTCAGACTGCTTCTAAAATTGTATCTAATTCTGTTGCTACAATTTTCAAGTATTTTCCTACTAATAACATTGTTATTGTTGAACAACATTTTTGTTAGCTTGTTTATTTTGCTTTTGTTTCTTTGATGGTGAGAACACTAATAAGAAAAAACATTTGTTTCTGTTAAAATTTGTATCCTTCCTCATAGCACCACAGCTTTTTTTTTTTTTCTCCTTTATTTTGGTTAATGTTTGCTGCAGATGACAGGTTTCCTCAGTGCCATTCGTCTGCTCAGAGAACAATTTGCAGTAATTATACACTTAAAAGTTCACTTTTTATAGCCACAATCATAAATGTTAAGTGAAGTGTGCCAGTTCAGAACACCTTTGAAGCAATTTAATTCCATTTGCTCAGTCCTGATTGCAGATATATATCTCTGTCCAACCAGCAGGCATTAAGATGTTTCAATATGAAAGTTAGCAAAGCTGCTGCTATTTTTAGGATGTTGGATTTGTTATACATTCAGATCAATAAAAGTTTACTCAGATAGTTCATTCTGGTCAGGAAAGAAAAAGCTATAATCAATAAAAATATGCATGAAGTACCACTTTTCACACCCACCAGTACGTTAAATACCGTGCATTACTCATGACTGCCTGATGCTGAACTACAAATAAAACCATATGCTGGAGTACAACCCACACACATATGCAGCATATAACACACGACATTTTCATTTGTCTCAATACTTTGAAAAATGCTACTGATCCAGGAACTCTTTTTTTTTTTTTTTTTTTTTTTTTTAATGAAAGGAAATATTGCTTAGATAGAAAGGAGCGGAAAGAATTTGAAAAGGGCCTCCTGAAAGCAGAAAGTGGTAACCTTCAGAACCTTTCACAAAGCCCATGGTTTATAAAAATTAACATTTCTGAAGTCTATAAAGAGAAAACTGCATGAGCATTCCATCTTACCTGCATGACAGCATTAAAAAAGCACGTATTTCCTAAATTATTTATTCCTTTAACTGGAACTGATGTACCATTACCAGAACCTTTCCCTCTCAGAATTTCACTTGTTTCACTGCTTTCATCACGGAGTCGTATGATTTTTGATGAACCTGTAATTAAACTATAGATTAGCATTACTTGATTACTGGATAGTTAAAACAACTCAGTCCTTCTTTGGATTATGTTTATTGTTTTTGACATAAGCTGAAAGACACCCCAATGGCACACTAAGCCACTTCATAAAGCCTTTAAAAAACATGAGACATCAACAGTTAAAACCTGGGGAAAAAAATTCCAACAACTATATATGTCCAACAAGTGCCTTACACAACAATTAGAACATCTCCTAAGACTTTAGCTTCTTCATTATGTAAAAAATAAAGAAGTAAAATAGGTTCTGTTAGTCTATCAACAACAAGAAGTTTAATGTATGTTCTGTAGATGCACTGGAAACACCACACACAAGGGCTGTTTTTTGGTGCCTTTATGGAGAGGTAACCAAAAGTTACACCTGAGTACTGCACATCTTCACCAATTTTTATGCTTTCCTTAAATTGTCTGGTACGACTTGGCCAAGGCAGTTCCATTTGAGTTGTTATCAGTTTTCTCAAATGCTACCCCCACCCACCTCCCTTTGTAACAGCCTGAGGAGTTGCTAGTAAAACCAAAATGGATATGTTATTTTAATTTCAAACCACAAGAATTTGATAAAACTGCAATGGAATATGCTACCAGCATAACATCCGTGCGTTTTCCTATTTCTCTTATTATTTAAATAGATTGGGGCAGCAAAGTTAGACAGTCATTAACTTGTAGCCTAGAGGTAACGGAAAGACTTGAGATAACAATATTTAGCCTGGAATTCTACTAGCAACTTTCATATTGTCATGGTTGCAGGACTAAATATGAACATTACTGACATCTGCAGCGTCTTAAATATTGATTAACAATGCATGTCAATGTAAACGAGTTATGGACTTAATAGATGCCAAGAACTGTGATGCTGCAATCTATGCCTTGACATATGAATTCACGTATTTGTTCTAATGAGTTTCACATTGAAATCTCATTAAAGTGTTCTTGGGAAATAACTAACCAGCCTATTTACGTTAATGAAATGCTCATGCCAAAAGGTTCTTTAATGTAGGTTCTGCATAGTTTCTTGCTTACAAGATGAAAAAATATAATTAAATAAAAAACAAGTCATTAAAATATTTTATCTGCAACAAGCCTCTGATGCAGTCTGCCTGCACCCTGCAGCGCTGTCAAGGCATAATTATTTCTCTGAATTGCATCTGAGTTTGTCAAACTGCAGCGAGAGGTGCTTCGCTGTTTAAAGATATTTTTAAATGTTCTTAGTAACACTGCTTACACAGGTTTAAAATATTCTTCTTTCCACAAGAGAAGGGCAAAGAAAGAGACTAAATTGTCCTTGGAAAAGCAACGTGTTTCTGAATGCAGTAAACAACAAATGGCTTGAGAGCTGCTCACACCCAAAAACAGTCACTGTTTCACGGGCTATGTACAGTAACATTTTTTAATTTACATTGCAAGGGGGTTATTCTACAGTGTCTGATGCTCCTCCATCCACAAAGAGCTCCAAAAGCACCTTAGCAGAAGAAAGGGAGCCCCAAGTATATGCAGCTTGAAGGCACTCCTCACTCTCAGAAATCTGATAATATTATTGGAGACTTCTTCCTTTTGGAAAAGTGTGGGCACAGAAAAATGCTGGGGAGAAGAGATGGTTAAAAAGAAAAAAAAAAAAAAAAAGCCAAAATTGTGTAAATAATTTGTGTATTAGTATACCACAGTTGTTGCATTTATCCATCGGCATTCAAAAACATCTGGGACAGCATCTTAAAGTAAACAATGTTCACAAGGCCATCTGGACAAAACTGCAGGCAAAAATTAAAGCATAAGCATATGGAAAAGCAGATTTTTCTCTTCCCTTTAGCAGTACAGGATGACAAATGTCAAACCTAGATCTGTCCACGCTTCACTGTGCTACGCTTTGCAGCACCACCTGGCTCTCCTTGCACAGCCACCAAATATGGACAGCACTGCCACAGCGGACCATATCTGCAGGGCAAACTCGATAAAAGCATTTCACTTCATGGTTAAATGGAAACTTCACACAAGTAGCAAGGCTCCATTTGCTGAATCTCACATATGAATTATTTAAGGGGGAAAAACAAAGCAACAGCATCCAGTTTTGTGATAAGGACTAAGAGAAAATGCAATTGCAAAGCACAGTGCATGAGAACCAGCCATACGATGTCACAAAGCTGGATAATTAGCACAGGGATGAGAAGGAGCAATAAATTAAGAAGAGGCCTGTATGTTGTTACAGAAATCTAGGTACCTCCTTTCATTAAGAAGGCTTTAGTTATAATCTCTTCATTTTTCAGTACACTTCACAAGCTAATTCCACACAGTATTTCACTAGCTTTCTGTATCTTTGAAAAAAATCACTGCTTTGCCATTACAATCACTATCTGCCATCTAGCTTACTCCATACAGACATTTTTAGGGACATAAGAAGAGCCAGAGGAAGGACGGCGGTTTTTAATTGAACTCTGTTCAGTGTCCCTTGTTTGAGGATAGATGACAGACAGGCCTAAAGCTGAATGTTTAGTTGACATGTGATGAGTTGGCCAGTCTTAATAGAAGATGCTGGTGATGCCTGCGATAGCTAGTACTTCCACAGCTTGGGGCTGGAGGGTCCTTCTGCAATATTAACCCACGGCTACAAGCCTGTTATTAATCAGAAGACCAATACGTAATTTTTTAAATGGAATTTGCACTGAACTGTTTCAGATTCCTCCTGACCTAATCTTGCAGTTCTGTAATGTTTTCACAGAAGTGCTCTAGGATATGAAAAGGGATTTTTTTAAGCCAGTATAGATAAAAGAATTTTAAGATAAGGACTCTATCAAAAAAAACTACTGCTGTACACGAGGACCTACAACTCCTGACTGAATTGCATTCTGTGAAAGGAAGAACTGCCATCCACCCAGCCACGGGCAGCAATAACTGCTACAGAGGAACTCCTGCCAGCCTTACCAAGAGCAAGGTGGATGAAAAGTACACATGTAATGGAATTAATCGCCTCATTTCTGTATGCAATTCACTATTACGTCTTTTAGAGTTGATACAGGTCCCCTCAGCCTCTTTGCCTTCCTCAGACAAGGTGGGCATTGGACCTGAGCAGCCACCAGGAGCTGCTTCTCTCCTACAGCACAGCAGACAATTAATATTATGCCACTGTTTTCTTCAGCTTTTCTAGCTCCCTCTGCTCATCTACATCTCACCTTGTAGGCTCTGAGGGAAGGGAACATCACAATTGCACAGCACTGGCCTTACAGGTATGTGACAGAGCTCAAGCCCCGACTTGATGCAGAGAACAATTCAGCTCATAAATGACAAGTCACCAACCCAGGTGCAAAAGCAACATAGTGCTGGCACAATCACTTGCAAAAAATGTTCAGAAAACTTGTCGGTGGGCCTATATCTGCCTTCCAGCATTACAAACATTTGCAGCCTATGTGGACTTTTATATCTCTCTTGTTGAAAGTGAAATGTGACTCGGGGTGCAGATGGTATGCAAGCAAAAATGTAAATGACATCCAATTTTTCTTTCAGCTGGGGGAGTAAGCATTTTTGCTCATCTTTTCAATATAACTGTTGCTGCGTTGTTGTTGTTTTTTTAATTAAAAATGAGGGTTCCAGGAATACGCACTTTTATTCCAAGGTCAAGCCTTTTTCACTGAATAGAACTGCAGTACTTCAGTTGAAGGTCTTCATAGCAAAAGCAAGGTTAATAGATTTCCTTTCTTTCACCAAGTTCTCCTCATGCATGTTTTACAAAATGCTACCAAATTGTCTGGCACTCCTTTTTCATTTAAAATTTTTGGTTTTTTTCCAACACCGTACAACAATGAGAATCCAACCCTTAGAAAAACAGCATTGTAACAATCATAAATGGTCACTAGATTCATGTTCTAAAGGATTGATTCCTCTTGTGGGGTTTCTGTCCTACCAACTTTATTTCTATGATTCTGCCAGGTTGTTATGAACTAAAAAACTCATGCACGTAGAGTGAAAGAGTAACCTACTCAGCCATCAGTGCTGATGCTCCATGCTCAGATGGCTGGTGCTACACCTCACAAGTAAGCAAGCACGCAGACAGGAAAGGGAAAAACCTATGGCTAAAAATGGCAATGTCTAAAAAATTTTTTATTATAACAAGTTAAGTAATTGTGAAAAATTTAGGACAGACAACGGAAATGTCTTTTTTGCTGAGGTATACTTCAAATTTGGATAGTCAACATATTCTGCATTATTTTGCTAGTTACATTTAGATTTTTCATACCATTTGTTTTTCCAGGCATGTTAACACCCAGTATTCATACTGTAAAGCTATGTATTTTTAATTTTTCCATCAACTAAGGCAAATATCAAGTTTTTAGCTTTCATCTGTTGGCAAAAGCTGGGCAGCTGAACTTACTACCAAAATCTTACTCCTCCGCTTTACCTTCCAAATAACAAAATTAACTACAGAATTTGAGAACAGATATTCTTTCTTCTCATTCTATTGCCACACAAACAAATTTAAGTAACTGCTTTATAAAGAAATTCAGTATGCAATCCTATGTCTTCACCAATGTCTAGCTTGGCTTTTATAAAGGAAAATATTCATTTTTAAAAGCTCATAACAATTTATTTTCTCCAGCAAATGAGCAGGCACCCAGCTAGCAATGTCTCAGCATGGTTTCTGTGTACTACATGTGCATTAAGTCCATGTGAAGCTCACAAGTGTGCCACACTGACAATACTGCACCTGCCTTTCTGTGAAAATCATCACGGCCTGCTAACCTTTTCCACAAAACAAATTTCTGGGTGGTACACCCTAGAAAGCAATCTTGCTTTATTCTTCCATCTTGTGCCCAACATGACCTCTTAACCAAACAAACTCCTCTACAGAGAGGGGGAGAAAAATAAAAGAAAAAAGGGAATAAAAAAAAAAATAGCAGGCATGGCTGGGTACAACAAACCATAGGATCAGATGCGAAAATCACACAGCTGCAAGCATTCTTTTGGGAACCCAGCACTGGGATTTATCTCAATCGCTTAATGTAATTACAAAAGTCAGTCATGTAGTAGTAATGTAATTTGCACATTTTTACAGCTGAAGTGAAGTCGAATCTTTATGAGAGGCTGAGTGAAAAGCAGGGATCCTGCTGCCACACTATTCCACCACATTAGTACCAAATGACAAGCGTTTTGCTTTTGTTTATTTTCCAGGCTGCATTAATTAAGAAATCTATATAACTCTCCCTTACACACTGAAGCTGTTTATTTTATCTTTAAATGACTCCCGTGCTCTCAAGAATTTAAAACAAACAAACAAAAAAAAAAAAAACAGCCTTCATCTGTTACTTATATCTGTGCTCACACTGCATTTCTGTAGAATTTTCTACACAATGCTACTGGAATTGTAATGAAGCACCCTGCCAACCAGTCATTAGAATATAAAGAAATCCAGATATAAGATGCATTTTTATTACAGTGCAACACTGGGGTATGAAAAGCAAGTAAATATGTTCAATTAGGCCCTTTTTAATTGAAGGCAGAAACAGAAAAGCAATGGGAAAAAGCATATGATTAATTTTAAAGAAATGAAAAAAAAGTTGTGAGAAACAAGCACTGTAAAACTGACAATAGTTTGTATTTCCAGGTTTAAAATCAGTAGTTTAGTATCAACTAATATACAAAATATATATATGTTTTTTGTTTGTTTGTTTGTTTGTTTTAACAAACCAAAAAGAATTTAAAGGACAACTTACACTGAAAATATCACTGTAACATGAAATGAAATGCTAAACCTAAAACAAAATAAAAGGTAAGTCATGAGTGGTAGAGTTAAATTCATTGCTGTCTGCTGTGTCCTTTGTTTTCTGAACAGCACAAATTATGCTTTAATCTCTGATTCTACTAAAATACATATTCATGATTCTATGATTCTGAGAAGGTATTCTAGCCTTTAAAAAAATTAACTCTTCAGCTACATTTCTCTAGTGCAAGCACCTAGTGCTTCAAAGTAACTGCGACGTAAAAGAATGCTGTTGAATTTATGGAAGTAAAACTAGAACATCAGATCGGTTAGGAAATTCCTGCTTACACACCTATTACTTATTCATCCATGCATCAGTGTTTCCTAGCACCTTCCAGGGGTAGCTGGGACCAAAACAACCAACTATGTGAGTCAAACAGCTTCTTCCTCTTTTAATCGCCGCCTGAAGAAGTCCAACAAAGTACCTTTGGGCCAACACTGCCAGAGCTCAAACTGAACAGCTTGGCACAGCCGCTTCCTGACTGAAGGTGGCAACCATCCCAGCTCAGGGCACATATTTTCCTACTTCTGCAGGTGAGCCTCAGCCTGTCTGGAACAGCACAGGCAACGCCACTGCCCTCCAGCAGCCGTCCCCACACATGGAGCAGCATTCTGTTGCAGAAATGAGCATGCAGTGGGGTACACCGGGGAACTGACCCAGGCCAGAACAAACCCAGCAGAAATCCTGACCATGTATAGAGAAAATTCATTCTGCCCTGCTCTAATACAATCCCCTGATTGTTAAGACAACCCTACTTCTTCTGAACTAGTTTGGAATTGTGCTTGCTTAATTTAAGACATTTCACAGAAAAGTAATTTTCTAAGCCCTCAACTCCGAAAGCTTTAGATGTCTTCAAATTTCACAAATTAATATTCCAAAACATGAAGAACAAAGAATCCTATCACTTCTGAAAGTCTTTACCCAGAAGTTCTAAGCTAGAATGAAATTGTTTCCATTAAATTAACTGAAACAAACATTCCATTTTTATCTGCAAGAGAGCTGCAACAGCAATTTATGTCTACATGAAAGCTTGAAACTGTAGCTATGAATAAAAGTGAAATCACACACAGCATTTTCATCATTCATTTCATCAGGCAAAATGATGCAAAAAGGAGCAATTCATAAATTTATTACAAATAAATTACTCAGTGTAGAACTTGTGACCAGATAAAATACAAAAGATGAATTTCTGAGTGACATGTAGACTTTTTTCCCCTCAAGAATTACCTATTAGAACTAGCAGGATTTGTGCACATGCAGCTAGAAGAATGTAGTTCAATCCAGTAAGGCACTCTGTTCCAATCTTACTTCCAACCACACTGGGAGGGTGGTGTGGTGTGATGTGATGTGTTGTGTGTGTGTGTAACCTGGAATCTGATGTTTCTCATAAATCAAAAGCCAGAAATGCTCCAGTGTGTGTTACAGTAGGGATGAATAATAAGGATTCTCAAGAGCAGACAGTTGAGGGCCACACATACAACGTTCTATTTATAATCACATATACTGATAAATATAGGAAGCTCCTAAAGTAAGAAAATAATTTAACATAATTTTCTATTAACAGAAAAAAGCATTACATCACAATCCAATTACATCAAAGAATAGAAAGCGTTACACTCAACAACAGAGTACTATAAAGATCCCCTTACACAAATTTAATTAAATACAGAAAACAAATCAGAATCAGAAAAAATTCGAGATGTTACACATCCACTCTTTTAAAATTCAATTCATTAATTCCTCCAGATAGCTTTTGTGCATTAATTCATATGGCATTTTACTTAAGGTATAATATTTTCTCTAGAACAAACTGGTACTTCTTCATTAAAGATAAAGCTTGGGAAAACCATCCTATAGTGCCCAAAATACTTGAAAGAATTAATTGCGCTGAATAAAAGAAATTCAATTGTTTATGAAAACCACTATGATAAGCATAACTTGCCCAAATAGTCATGCAATTAAAAATTGCATTATACTCCCATACTCATACATACTTTTTGAATTAAATGTTTAATATGACTCAAAATTTGAAATACTCGTTTTTAGAGACAGTACATTACAGATGTTCCAGATACAGTTATTTGTGTATACTTACTTGGTTCAGCTCTGGAACCATGTTTCTGAAGAAAGTCAACTATCTGAGCCAAAGCCTTTTTGTTGCAATGTGTTGACAGCTCTTCGTCACATTCATAACACCTAAACAAAAGAGGAAATGCACTGGAATTCAGGTTGTCTGTATTCACTTCCAAGTTTTAACTGACCTTTAAAAACATCTTACACAAATTACTTAAGCTCTAGATCTCAAATCTTTGCGCTAAAAAGAGGAGTAAAATTAAATCCCCTCATCCCATACACATTCTGATCTAAAGATCAGCCCTAATTCACTTCAAAATTAACAGATTTAATTAATGTCAGTTAAAAGCCCTGCAAGTAGCCAGATAGAAACAAGCAGGAAAAGCAAACTCCTAAAATCAATCAACTTTCTACAGAACACAACAGACTCTCAAACTACTATGCTAGTATGCTGTAATCTTCTTCATTGGCAATAAAGCACACTGCTCACTGCAAAAATCACATCTCAGCCCACAACTCAGTGTACATTTTGTCTACTTAAAAACAACTGACATACAAGAAAAAGGTGGGTGATGTGATGAATATCATCTGACAGGAACAAACCCGTGTTTGGACTAAGAAGAAGATAAAAAGAAAAAGCAGCTCTCATGGGACAGGCAGGCAGGAAGCTTACCAAAACTGCTCTCTATTTTACTGGATTTGTGATCTCTCTACATACCTAAGCACAAACTAATTTTCTGTACAGAAAACCTGCCTCTTTGCTCTTCAGAGATCTACATAAACAGCTTATTTTATCTTCCAGAAGTACTCTTTATAATAAAAAGACAGTGCTCTTAGTTAGGAGTAACCTTATATACAAGCATAAATGAACACCTTCCTACTTATTCTTACCATATGATCCATGTACTGAGACTGATAACAATGCAATGAGGTTCTGTGCGTGCTGTTTGGAAGTGTTTTAGAGAATGCTGTCCTTCTGAGTTCTTACTACAACCCTAAAAATGGAAACATTAATATAGTGAGAACAAAAGAGAAGTGGGAAAAGAGTATATTAGTTAAATAAGCTATAAAAACCTTACTTTTCAAAATCAAGCAGAAAGCTATAATGCATAAAAATATTCATTCTCAACAACTAAAAGGGTTTAACATTCAAAATAATCCAATGACAAAGACATCAATTAAAGTTTTTTGGAAAAAAAAAAAAAAAAGCACACTTTCTTTTTTTCTAATACAGGAAAACTCATTACAACACAAAAATAGTATCTCATATTTTCTACTTAGGAAAATTATTAAACTTGTTTTGAATTAAGAGAAATAACTCCTATCTTCTGAATGAGTATTGTCAATATAAAGCCAATTATGCCACTTACAAAGGTTTACCAAAAAAAAGTGAATAATTGTGTAGCTCATTTGGTCCATGGAATATCAAGGTAACCTTCACTGCTCAAGATTGCTCATGCATTCCAAACAGCGAATGCAAAAGGCATATAAACTGTTGTGGTGGTGCTCTTTTTTTTTTTTCCCCACTAAAAAACTACTCAGAATACAACACTTATGTACAGCAAATTCAAGAGAAAATGTAGTTTTCCAAGTATCTACAGAGTGGAACTTAGAAGACTAAGGAGGAATACTGGTTTCTGAATAAGACATGAATGTTAGAAGCCATTGACTGCATAAACATGAAAAAGCACATTGATTTAACTCCTTTAAAAGATCTCCTTAGCTACAGTTTTTCAGAGTTAATCTACGAGTCCTCCTCAGATCTAGCTAACTGCCTTTCAAAGCCTAGTAATAGCATGCTTCTTTTCAAAATTAAATATATTCAGATAATCCTGGTAGAAGCTGGCATTTGTCTTTATTGTAGAGAAAGATCTGTAAGTAGATTGTTTAACAAAATTGAAAATGTTCTTTCTAGGCAACTATCCGCTGAAATAAGCATGACGCTGCTTGTAAACTCCATTTTTCAGAATCAGCCTTTACTTCAGTCACAGGCCAGAAATCTACACAAGCTCTTGGGGCCAGGACCTTCACTTTTAAACTCTGAGGCCACAAAGTGACATTGTAACTGATCCATACTATTAGCCTTAATAGAAAATTAACAGAAAGCAGCATTCTCACTTCCACCCAGTTTCTTCTTCTTGGGTTCAACCACATCTAGCAATTGAGTGTCTGCAGTATAAACTGATTCAGCAATTTACAAATTCACTTATTTGTTCATTCGTATTTGCAGTATCTTCTGTCACATAAGCCAGCTCAACTGATGTATTTTGCAACTGTACAGTTCCTGGAGCTAATTTTCCGTATGTGGCAAAAGCACGCAGATGAAGTATAGAGAAGAGGGGAACTACCACCTGTAGGTGCAGAGCTGCACATAAATAAAGCTACCCCAAAATACTGACAAAAACAGCAAAGAACACAAGGCCACATCCCAGTCTATTTAAAAAGCTGAAGCATGGATTCTCACAACTAAGCACTTAAGTAACACTGTTTCACCGAAAGTAATGAGATGCCATGCCAACAGGATCTATATCTGTAATGTCCTTTAGAAAATCAGGGCTTATCCATCCCTGAGTTCAGAACAGCTGCTTACCTGAGAGCCACACTTGAGACACAGCCATATGTCTGAAGGTGCCACAGGCTCACCATCACTCATCCGCCTTTCCTTCAGACACTCTGAACATATTGACCAAATGCTCTGAGCTACCGCTCTCTTCACATGATGTACATCCACTGCTTGGCTCACGTGCTGGCAGGTTAAGCCTAAAGAAAATGACACTTTGAGCAATTGAAAATAACAGTTAGGAAGGAGAGCATATGTACATAAAAGGAGCACAATCTTTAACTTCAGCAACAGTAAAGGTTCCCACACTGTAATTGCATGCAATTATTTTGGCTCAAGACTCTCCACTTGCTTTTGCTGAAGTCCATGAAGTTTCTGTCAGCTCAATTCTCTAGCTGCCTAAGCCAATCTCAATAGACAACCTACTCTCCTTTATATCAACTCCTCTCCCAGTTTGCTATCCAGATTTTTATGAAGATGAGTGCAGCCTCACAAGAACATCACACAGCTCTCAGCAGCTTCATATGCATTCCACCTGATCCCATGGACTCACATATGCCAATTTGCATAACAGCTCTCAATTGTCTTCTTTCCAGATAATACTTCAACCTAGAGTCTGCCACTAGGCTCATGGACCAGAGGAGACTGAGTGCAGACACTGTTACATGTGAAGACAGGCAAAGAAAAGATTGAGTTCCTCAGCTTTTTCCCATGTCCCCTGTCCCTAGGTGCCCTGCACCCTCAAGTTGCACATTCACACTCATCTTAGCCTTCATTTTGATGTCACAATACCAAAAGAAGCCCCTCTCAACCATCGCTTCCTGCATCAGATTCAACTCTAACCAATGAAGCTTACCCAATCTCATCCCTACATAATCAAAGCCCCTCAGATTGCAATTCAACCTGCTTCTACTCTGTCGATGCTTCATCTTTGCCCCCCAGCTCAGTCACAAACTCTCTGCTCAGCCACGCAACTCCCTGCCATGCATCTGATCTTCCGTGCGTAAGAAAAGACTGCTACTGTGTTCCGAAATGGTTGTCATGGAAGACCAACCCTTCAGGACAGTCATGCAGTGTAACAATCACAAAGCAAAGACTTGATTGAAGATGCCCTGTCATGAATTCAAGCAATAAAAGTACTTCCTGGTACCAATGAGTTGTGGTTTTCATCAGTCAACATGGAAATTATTAGCCCTCAACCTTAGAGCAAAACATCATTTAATGTATTTACCTGCAATATCATCTGAAGAGTCTTCATCCTGTGGCCTGTTAGGCCTTTTGCTTCTCTTTGTTTTCTCAGGGTTAGCTCTTGATGGATCTTTCACCCGCATCTGTTACTTACTAGGAAGGATAAAAAGGAATTACTTATTGCCTAAATATATCATTAAGTTTAAACTCTATTAGCATGTGAGCACGTCATGTATTCAAGCCTCAGGAACACAGGTTTAGACTTTGACTAATGTCACCTACTTTGTGATAGAAAAATATGAATATGTCAGGAATGAACTCTAAAGAATGCTGTAAGATCAGTTATATTACACGATGTTATAAATTGTATCTGTAGCTACAGGGGACATGCGCTTCCAGGCAGCAATGCTAAATATCTGAGATAGTGAGATTTATTTATTTTTACCATTTTAAACTACTACAGAGTCCCAGCCACATCTTACCAGGAAAGCTCCCTTCCTTAACACATCTCTTCCATAACGTATCTCCTGTAAGAAAGGCTTCTGTCATCATTTACCTGTACATGTTCCTGAAAATATTTTGAACAATTTCAGATGGTTTAATAAAAGACAAATGTCTTCCAATTCTTACAAAACTGTCATCAGTGTGTCATCACCAACTACAATGTGAGCTGACCCCCTTGTTAAACATCAGAGAATCCACACAAATGAACACTCACAGAAATTATTAAGAGAGTCCTAAGAGACAAAGAACTGAATGATAAATATTTTACACTAAGCTTTAAAAACTAATAAATTTATCGGAGATTTCAGTGCACTAGCTACTTAATCAAAATCCACATCTTAATTCACTGAATCAGCACTGCAGTGCATCACACAGCTTCTGTGGTTTCATTTGCAGGATGTATTTTATGACGTGCTTCATAAAAACAAATAAACTTATGTTTTGAGATACAAAAGCATATCAACGTGAGACAGTCAAATACTCAAGCACAGCAAATCTGTGAGGCATTCTGCTTGGAAGAGCAACGACATCTTGTTGTAGTACCACATACAGGTTAATAAAGTCATTTGATCCACCAATACCAAACATTTTTTAGCTGTGCTACCACACTGACGTGTACTAAACCTCTGCAACACTTCACATTTAGGAACAGCAAAAGATGCATTCTCATTATAGATCTAGTAGATACGTTTGCCGTTGTCTAATCAAGTTTTTAAATCTTCACTGTACTTCTGCAACACTGAAAGCCACTGGGACTCACCACTGTTAGCAAGCGAGCAGCCCTCACTGGGGTGAAGTAGGCAAGGAATGCCTTAGAGCTACTGCTTCAGGCTTCCTACAAACCTGGACAGACACTTGTGCACGTAACACTACTGCTAGGTTCCTGCAGAAACACCTCACTACCAATCACAGAAGTATTTTGGAAGAATTGGGATTCTGTAGAGTAAGAATAACCTCTGTTCTCTGCTTCCTTGCACGGGTAACTTCACATATCTTCAGCCTGTTAAAACACACTTTTTTTCTTTTTTTCTTTTTTTTTTAATTGGCCACAATATATAAGGGCAATTAATTTATGCCATCAAGACCTTAAATTGTAGATCTCTAAATTTTCTGTAGCTAACAACATAAAGCTTCAAATGCTTAGACATTCAAGTAAGCAGTGTTACTAAATTCAGGTTGCTGACTTGGCGGATTTGCAGTCTGTGCTCACACAGTAAGAAAGATCTGACTATACCAGCTCTTGACTACTTATAACTGAGTAAATTTAAAATCCCTGATGTACATCAACACATGTATCACAGAACAGAGAAAGGTGCTTTCAAGCCAAGCAACTTCAAGTGTGCATTTCTACCTTGTCATCATCTAATACCCAAACAAGCTTCACGTGAAACTGCCCACCATCACTTGTTGCAGCATGGCTTAACCAAGCACAAGGTTCATCGTGATGTTCATCAGACAGTAAGGCTGATACAGCTGCTGTCAGAAAACTGATGATTTTACACTACATTATGTGAAGAGCCAATAATGAAGACAACAAGATGTCCTCCCTCAAGGAACACAACTGTGCTTAGGTTATTCAACGTTGATGTAATTATCTACTGCTTCGTTTCAACATGAGAATTTGTTTTCACTGTTTGGACAGATTGTCTAAGAATGCCCAAACCACAGATTTCACCCAACTGATGGTCATGCTCACACTGGTCCATTTCAAGTCCCCTTATATCTTCATGAAAGAACAGTTATGCACCTGACCAGCTGAAATGCAAGCACATCTCTTCCACCTCTGAACCCCTGTGGCCAACAGGCCAGAGCACACCACATGGAACAGACAGGAGCAGCTCGCTGCTGGAACCCTCTCTCAGCATGCCTTTGGGACATGTGGAGAAGGAAGAGCATCAAACCTGTAATAACTGGAAAGGAGGCCCTTCTGACAAAATATAATCAACATAGTATCAGAATGAATGCTGACATAAAATCCAAGCACTGACAACGCACATTTTGGCAATCCACCAACCAATCTGGAGACACTTCTGCCTTCATTAAGTAAGAGCAGGCTGAACAAAATGTAACAAGGACGAGCAGATGAGTCAGTTTCCACAAACACAAACAGAGAGGCGTCCATCAGGCAATGTTTACTGACTCTACAGTTCTTGGAAAAGCCACTGAATATCAGGATTGACCACACAAGGCTTGTATCTGATTTCTGAATCATCTCACAGAAGTGGGATGAAGGGCTAAGAAAAGGGAGCCGTTCAGCAAGTGTCTGAGATGCAAGCAGCACAGTACATACACAGCACTGCCCGACCTCTTTCTACACATTTAGGGTCTAAAAACATTACAAGAAGAAAATTGAATATAACAATTTAAATCACAACCAACTATGTAGGATCAAAGTGATTATGCAAGGAATTTGATTATTGTATTTAGCTGAGAGATAGAAGAGTTGTAAGGTGCTTCAGAAGTTACTCCTCAAAAATGATTCCGTGTATGTGAAACAAAAGATTGAAAATTAACAGGAGTGAAAACCCTGAACAAAAATAGATCCCCTCAAAAAAAACATAAAATACAGCTTAGAAGAAAGCAAGAAAGAAACCCTCTACATTTCTTTTGATCATAGGCACAATCCATTCAAGACAAGCAGGCAGAGGGGAAGTAAACACAAAATGAACTAGATACACTGAGGATTAAAATGTTGGCAATATATTGCCAACACAATTTGCCTCTTTCCAACCCAGCCTCTCTAAATAAAAATAATTCAGTTTTGTGGAAAAATAAAAAATAAATACAGAAAGAGCCAAATCCCATCCATTTAAATAATCCTTCCACACAAATCTAAGAACTAGTTCTTGCCAAACTTGTTCAGACGCTTTGAGCTCAGCATACAAGAGTTTGAAGTGTAACCATCATTGCTTGCTATTCTTGGTTTACTTTTTACTTTTAAAATGACTCGTAATGGCAGTCTGCCTACAAAAAGCTGATGAAGATCAAAAGCACCTCTCTCTAACTGCTAATTTCCACCTTTCTAGAAAGATCAAAACACTTCAAAAGCAGCAGAACAATCTGCCTGCCTAATTTTAAAAGCTTCAGATTTGATAAAGTGCCAACAAGCAACAGAAGGTAACAGTGCTAAATTTGTTGACTTAAACTCAGGTACACCTAGATTATTTTTAATGTAAGGTATGCCTGAAATAGCCTATATTTAACATAGCCCTTTCAATGAAGTATTTAGAAACTTCAAAGACTCAAATGTAATTCCTAAAATAAATATTATTTTTTAAACATTATGTTTTACTGAAACTGAGTAGAGCTAGGACCAACAGAAGGTATCAGGTTAGTGTTTCACTTCTCTTTTGGGGAAAAATAAACAAACAAGTCACTCCTCTCCACAAGATCTTTACGCAGGGGAGGTGGAGATACGAACTTTGTTACTGATATTCCTCAAAGCTTACTCGCATCTTATCTTGCACACTGCACGTAGCAGTTGAGTACCTCCTCCCACAACTCCGACAACTCACTGCACTGGCAGTACGTTTTCTTATGCTGTACCTTCACTACAGCATTTGTAAGAAACCTGAAGCACACCAGCAAATCAGCAATAGCCTGACACACTGCCGGCTCCCATACCAATGTTCCATTCCATCTGTCAAGATCTATGTTTTTTTCCATCTTACAATTAGTGTGCCAGATCTTCCAGCCAAGTGCTGTATTTATGTGTTCTTATCTGCATAATGCCTATCACCACACTCCTCCTATTTCATGATTATCTGGGAGAATAACACTTGCATTACTGGAATGTAAACAGTAAGATAAAAACGACTTAATAACCATCAGCTTATCTCAGCACACTTACAAAATAGAACCAAGAGCCTCCAGATGGTTTCCAGGTACTATTTTGGATACGGAAAAGACTCTCCCAGAAGAACTGGCCATTAACTATGAAACCAGTACAGTGAATTACCCCAACAGTGAGCGCCTGAATTCAAATGAGCTGGGACCTCAATTCATCTCAGGTATCCTCAATGCTAACCACTTCACCATTTGTGTTAAAACTTACCAATTAAAACTGTATCAGTTTACGTTGCTAGCACACACACACACACACAAAAAGAAAAAAAAGCATTATATCATACTGGAAAGGCACTAAATATAGCATTCCAAAAATCGGCAGAGGGCTTTCATGGCACAGCTGCCAACAGCAGCCTATCACCAAAGCACAGGACGCTGATCAGATTAAGCCAAAAGGTCAAGATGCTCTGTAGCACATTTGCAATGGCACTTTACAAGCTTCCTTCTAACTGTAAAATGACTGACTTGCCCAGGACAGTAATGCCAGCTTCCCTGCGAGCACATTTGCGACATGTTTTGATGCAAGCTGCAAGTTGATCTATTTTGGATGTCTGTTCAGAGCATCACCTGTGGCATTCTGGCTCACTCACTGCTAGATCAAATGTCACCCAATTGCAGCGAGAACCACATCCATCACAGTCAGCAACTGGGCAGTGCCATCAATCAGCCGCCAGGACATTGTGCATTCTGACAGCCACCAAAACCTTCACAACAAACAAGCCCTCACTGCCTGCTGGAGCAGTAATAGGACCAGAACTGCTGACTGGTAGTGGCAGCAACACTTCTTCCCCTGGAAAACGTCGTTTGAAATTCTCACGAGTGTCATCTCCCAGATTCCTAGCCCAAAGGCACATCACACATCCTACACCATCACTGGAGCTCAAACGCCAGTCCTGACACAAGACTGGAGTCCTCACAGAGTGAGACACAGATGTACTTTTTGCACATCAGATGGACAGAGCCTTCTGACCACTGGATACAACTTCCCAAGCGAGAGTGAAAATCCCATGGCATTTCTTATTTTTACTACTCTTTTTTATTCATCTGTCCATGCCAAACAGTCTGTCAGTGTTCATGTCTGCCTCCTACACAATCCTCCATGTATGCACCACTGAAACCTAATTGCCACCAAAAAAAAAAAAAACAACCTGCTTTTAACGATGGAGAGAAACGAGATGTGCCCTGAAACAGGAAGAGAAAGAGCCCAAAACTGGGTTTATGACCCAAGTAAATAAAAGGCTTGAGTGGGTGAAAGGAACAGTTCTTTGATGACATATTTTTACTAGCATTTTATACCAAAAGTTTTGCTAGAAACTTTTAGACAGAAAAAAAAAAATCAGGGATTCCTGCCAATATCCAGCCTAATAACGAATACACCAAGAGGGAAAAGCATCTGGGCTGACATGTTCAGGGTCTAACATGGATTTTCCTACAGATCCATGAATATCCTTGAGAAACAGAAATGCATCAGTATCTTAGCAAGAGCTGTAGCTACTAAGTCATTATGCTAGCCCGACAGAGAACTTCCCCTGTGAAGCAACAGTGTGCTGGCAGTGCTGACAGCCCCAGCAGCCACGTGGTGTGAGCAGCGACGTGAGCAGTGCCGTCACCACAAGCACATGAGGAATAACAGCCAAAACAGCCAGAGAACCAGCAGGGAGCTCATGGCATCCTGGCAGGGCTGTGGGACAAAAACCGCAAAAAGTGGTTCAAGATGTCATAAAGAAAAAATGAAGGGCAATACCAATAAAGAGTGAAGTGTGATGAAATGTCTGTGGAGTCTTAGAAAAATTAAAAAATAATTTTTCTTCAAGTCACATAATAGAAAGGAATTGTGGCTATAGTACACCGCCTGAGAGGGCAGACTGAAGCCCACACTACAAGCTGAGAGGCCTTGGTATCATACAGCCTCCCCACCTGAGCTGGAACAGGTCCCAGGAAGACGAAGACCACAGACCACGCAAAGCTTTGCATCTACCTTGGAAGCTGTGGGAGTGAGCTAATTGATGTGGTAGAACAGACAGCATAAAGGACTATGAAAAACTAGTCTGAGCTCTTTGAAAGTCAAAGTCTTGCTGCACAGAGCAAAGCATTTCATTCTACTTCCCTCCTACATACAAATTGCCCCAGTTTGTTTTGCTAACACACCTGAAGTAGAACGACTTGTCCTTGATGTACCGCAGCAGAACTGTGAGATGCCAGCTTAATTTCTGCGAATCAGGCAGAAACAAAACTACAGAACACAAGTTCTTCAATATTTCATGAAGAAATCTGACAAAATATTTACAACCATAGTAAGCTGCAGAACGGTTTTACAAGGCATGCTCTGCCATCAATCTGGTGTATGTGCATGCCACTACCCTCCTTCCATTTAAAATGCTAGAAAATTGGGGGGGTGAAATGTTTGAGTCTTCACGTACTAAAGGTCTGTCTAGTAGAATTCACTTGTACCTAAGGACCACATGCCACAGTATATCTGAAGTGAACGCTATCAGCTCCTACTTTGCATACGTTTATTCTCGTGCTCCTGTGCTTAATATGCGGCCACATGCACATCCTATTAGTGGCAACACTCCCACAGCAAGAACAGGGTGAGCTCCTGAAGTAAAGCCTACAGACGACAAAGGACTGAAGTTCTGCGAACGTCCACGCGTTAAAAAGAAAAAAAAAAAAATCGTAATACGAACCCAAATACGCCCTGCAGAGCAGCTGCTACGAGTCTGCAGGCCCACAACCCCGACGAACGAAGAGCACGGGCAGGCTGCCGCCCGGCCCCCAACACGCACCTCGGCCCAGGAGGCCCGGCCCGGGGCGGTGCGCACCGACGGTTCCCCGCCACCCCGTGCCGGCACACGCTGCGCTGTCAGTGCTGCGCACAGCCCGCCTGACGGCATCGCGATACGGGACCGCAGCGCTGTGTCACAGCCGCGTTTGCGGAGCACGCCCGCTCACTCGCCTAATGCGAAGTGACCGCAGCTTATGCTTAAACCCAACCAACTGCGCGGCGGCTGGTTCCCTCTCACCGCGCAGGCATCTCGCCGAGGAGCTCGCCGCAGGTCGGCAGGCCGGCCCGATGCTGCTATTTTCACCTCGCCGCACGCTCAGCGCGTTCGGGCCGCTGACGGCTGGCGGACACCAGCAGCTGGCAGCCGGCGAGGCAGCACGAGCCCACACCAGCCGCGTTCCACCGCTACGTGAGAGCGGCGCCGGGCAGCGCCGCCCGGAACCCCGGGAACGGGGATCTCCGGCCGGTCGCCCTGGGGCCCGGCCCCGCGGCGTAGACCCGACGCCTCGTCTCCCCGTCCGCGATTTCCCTTCCCCCAAGCCGCGGTCTCGGCGCCGGCCGCCGCCATGGCTGAGCGGATCGGTCCCGGCCTGCCCCGGTCCGCACCCGCGCCGTGGCCCCGCGCCATCCGCTCGGCGGGAAGAGCCGCTCGCGGGCACGGCCCTCCTGAGTTCGGCCGGCGGCCTCCCCGCCACCCCGCGGCCCGCACTCACCGAGCGGCGGGCGCCCAGGCACGGCGGCGGCAGGAAGCGGCGGAGGAAGTTGGGCCGCAGCCAGGGCCCCGCCGCTCCGCTCCGCCCGGCGCGGCCCGCCCCCGGGCCCGGCCCGGCCGCCTCCTGCGCCGGAGGGGCCGGGCCCGGCGCTGGGTGAGCGGGGCAGGATCCGGCCTGGGGCGGGCAGCGTGCGGGGAATGTGGCTCTAGAGACGCCGAGGGAAAGGGGTGTGCTGTGGGGCACTCCGAAAACAAGGACCTGCAGCGGCTGCGTTGCACACGCGCTGAGGGGATGGTTAGGGAAGCACAGATTGAACTCTGTGCGGTGAGACCAGAAGGCTTTATGCCCATCCCAGGAAAAACGCGGGTAAGTTACAGCTGTGCGGTAGGAAGACTTGTTATAGATATCATGTAGTGAGGGAAAACGAAAGGCCAGGAGTGAGGAAGGATGAAATGTGAACAGCACCAGCCGTCAGAGCCAGAGAGAAAAGTAAAGTGAAAGCAGGGAAAGCCAAGAGCACTCAGTAAAGCACGATTATGGTGCTAAGGGGAGTGGGAAAGTGGGTAAGTTTGGTGGGTGCATGCTAATGGCAGTACCACGAAGGTGAGAAGACAGTAAGTATGCTGCTTTTGTAGAAAAGATGGAAAAGTTATTGGAAATGGTGATTCATGCAGTACCACAGCACGGAGCGTTGGCTGGGCTACTGCTATCCCCTGTCCTGTCCCTTCAGAAACCATGGGAATTGGCTGGCTCAAGCCACTCTGACTTCAAACTAATCCCTCAAAAGCCAGCCTCTGGGTTGTTCCAGCTTTTGCACACAGGGCAGTGTGTTCTGTGTGTGTGTATGTGTGATCCTAGGTCACACCAAAGCCATACAAACTAATTCATACAAATACAACCTGATGTGAATTTGTGTCTCATGCGCAAACCGTTCTGACGCACTACCACTCATACCTACAGTCCGAACTGCAACACACAGAAACCTGGGTGGCTATTTTAGAAGTACGCACATGAAACATGACTCGAAAGAGTCATTCCATCCCCCTGTGTTCTGTTAAAAACGGAAAGTGCATAAAGCTTTAACTCACATATAGCTATGCTGCTCCAAAGAGACATTTGCGAATGCCCGTCACGGGGCCATATGGGAGTCGGCAGAAGGGCGGCTGGGGAACCAGCTCTTGTGCCAGCTTCGATCTGTCGCACTCTCCAGCTCTGAGGAACACTTTGTTCTCGTTTGGAAAAAGAAAATTCTCATTAGGGAAGACTGTAGCCCTCAAAACACAGTCCTCGTTTTAGGAAGGGAGATGATCAGCACGCCTGCCTCTGAGGACGGGCATCACCGGTACGGGGTGTGCGTACAAAGACACGTGGAAGGAGAGGGGGTCCCTCATCCCTTCGCTCCAAAGCGGTGGCTGCCGGAGGGGAGGGCCCCAAGGAGCGGGCAGGGCAGGGCAGGGCGGACCGGCGTCGCCGCCATCTTCGGAAGTATGGCAGCCTGCGGCTGGTGCCGGTGCCGGGCGGCGCTGGCCCTCCGGGCGGCGGGCGGCAGCCGCTGGGGACGGCGGGGGGCAGCACCCGGTGAGGCAGGGTGCGGCATGGGGAGCCCGGACCGGGGTGGCGGTTGGCGGCTGGCGGGGCCCGGGATCACCCGAGGCGCGGAGCTTGAGGAAGTGTTTCACGCTTTCTTGCTGCCGGTAGCAGGGGGGAGCTCGGCGTGCGCTCACGGGCTGTGCTGCTTTTACAGAGCCGAGGGCGGTACATGTCACCTCCCCCAGACTCTGCTCCGACAGGGAGAGTAGCGTGTCTTACCAGGAGCTCAAGAACCTGAAGAAAGCAAACGTCCTCCACATCGATGTTCGAGAGAGGTGGGAGATTGAGAGAGATGGGAAAATCCCGGCGTCCATCAACATACCATGTAAGATACTCGCACTGCTGCCTGGAAATGTTTGTTGGTGCAATTTGGCAAGGCTATGGACGCATGATCGCAGAACGCCAGGGTTTGGAGGAGACCTGGAGATCATCTGGTCTCACTCCCACTAAAGCAGGCTCCCTACAGCAGGTGGCACAGGAAGGAGTTCAGGTGGGTCTTGCTTTCTTCAGAGAAACAGACTCCACAGCCACTCTGGGCAGCCTGTGCCAGTGCTGTCACCCTCAGAGTTATGGAATTTTTTCTCCTATTTGTATGGAAATCCCTGTGTTTGGTTTGTACTAATTGTGCTGGGAACCACTGAAAAGATCCTGGGCCCATCTGCTTGACTCCTGCCCTTAAGATATTTATAAGCGTTGATACAATTGCCTCTCAGTCTTCTCCAGGCTGAACAGTCCCAGGTCTCTCAGCCTTTCCTCATATGGAGGGCCCATAATTATCTTGTGGCCCTCCACTGGATTCTGTCTAGAAAATCCCTGTCTTTCTTGAGCAGTGGAGCCCAGATCTTCCCAGAGGAATTCGAAACATTAGAATGTAGATCTGCTGGTGGACAGAGAATAAGTGAGACTTTCTGTATTGTTTTATTTTTCTATTTCCCAGTGAATGAATTAGTGGAAGCTCTGCAGATGAATCCAGCAGACTTTAGGGAGCAGTACAATCAGAAGATGCCTGCCAAGTCAGACCATGTGGTTTTCTCCTGCTTTGCAGGAACAAGAAGTAGACAAGCACTGAGTTTTGCTGCATCCCTGGGTTTCAGCAGGTAAGCATGAAATCATGCATAAGGATGAAATTACTATGACCTCTTCCAGTAAGTGCAGCAGAACTCTCTCTCAACTTCCAATGGGTGTGAGTAATATTTTTGACGTGGAATGAAGAGCTTAATCTTACAGGTAGAGAACTGCCAAACAGTACCTTTTCATGTCCTCACTGAACCTTGAAAGATGGTATTTGGTGTTACAGCAAAGTGAGGCATCCTGTGAAACAACCCCCACCAACTCTGCTTTTATGCTGGAAGTGATTCCATGTGCTGCAGGACCACATTGGTGTTGGAAGGACTTTCTACTTATTACTTATTCCTTGCTGAGATGCCACTTGTACAGCATCATAACACTAATCTTCACATGCAGGATGACTGGAAAGGTAGAATAGTTTTTATTTTGGTACAAGTAAAATCTTGGATAGTTTATGAAAACATACCCTTTGTGAAACTGCTGTTCCACCTGTACAATTCACCTGTACATTTCACGGTGATAAAATATGACTTTCAGTATGGCTTTCAGTAAAGCAGTGTGTTGTTTACAAAGTAGTGAAGCGACTAGTGAAAAAGACAGCAAGATTGACGGAGTGAAAGACATGGTAGCATTTGACTGGTGGAGTTGTTAGGGTCTCAACAGAAGGCATCTCACTGACTAGAAGGCTGCAGAAATTTCAAAAATTGATTGTTTGCCCATGTTTTTGCTGAGCAGCAATTCAAGAATTGGAGTATTTCTGCCAATTATAGTCGAAAGTGTGGAACCATGCTCTTGTTTTATAAATCTGCCGTTTAAATAAGTGCAAAATAACCTTTGTCACCTGTTTTTCATACTGCCTAACTGAAGGATTGTTTTGCATGGTGTTTCTTTTTTAAGACTGTTAACTTCACGACTGTTTTTTCCCAGGATTATGTCAGATCTGTATAGCATGTATGTTTGCAAGAGACTAAAGACCTGTGTGTTTTTACTTCATAACATCTGAAGTATTAGGCATAATGTCACATAATGTCCCACTACAGTGAGTTCCTTGGCAAGCTATTTAATTGATCCATCTGCCACTACTTGCTTGATGTTTGATCTCCAGCATTGCATTATTTGGAAGAAATGGCCTACACAATATACTGTTTAGATGCAGGCAGTGTTTGACTTCCCTTATTTCTGGCTGGTTCATTGTATAATGTGCAAGTGTATTTAAAATAATTTCTTTGTGCTTTTTTTCTGTGACTTCTCTTCCCTATCTTTTCCTACATTGATAGGAGAGTCCTTTATGATATTTATCTTCTGCATACTTTCAGAGTTCAGCACTATGCTGGTGGCCTTGAGGACTGGGCAAAACATGAATCTCCAGAGAAAAAATGAAGATGACATCCTCCAGCTCCTGCCCCACCTTCAGGATGCTTTGTAGATTTTATCAGGATGCTTTGTAGATTTTAGCATTCAAACTACCCACATTCCACTTTCAGAATACAAACGTTTCCCCTCATGTAAATGGGCATTTCATTAGCCATGCATATTAACTGCTTTGTTTCAATTAAGTTCTATGAGATGAATAGAAGATGTTAAATTTGTTCAGCCTTTAGTCTGCACGACGTTATTTGCTGGAAGAAAGTGACAAGACTTTTAATGTTTTTGGCTACTAGGATTTTGGCATGATTTGCTTTATGACTTTAAATAAATGGTGATAGCATGCATAAAATTATCCTTCCCAAAAAACTTAATGTTGAGTAGCTTGTTTAGAATAACTGCAGTTTAATGGAATTGCTGTAAGTGTCCTAAGCACAGGTGTATTATTCTTCATGTATAGCTATATTTTTAAGTTTTTGCCATGTTATCAAGAGCATACAATGGGAAACTGACTTGCTGTTCAAAATGTGTGATTCCTTACTTTAGAAGTATGTCCATTTACATACACAGGTCTGCTTCTGAGCACAAAATGCAATAGCATTCAGTCAACTTGTTCTTTTCCCTTAGCAGCTCAGTATCAAGTGAGAACTTGTCTATATTTACTTGAAGTTGTTATTATGGAGATGTAATCATCTTAGATTGGAAAATGTGAAGCATCCAAGGAAGCTACCTAACTCCCTGCTTTCTTCTCTGTATATTAATTTGTACATCTGAAATGCTAAAAAAAAAAAAACCCAACACATCCCATCCCACCTATACAGCTGCATAGTCATAATTCTAAGGATTGGGTTTTTTATTTGTCTGTTTTAATGCTGTTAGCAGTCCAAGGGAACTAGCAAAGCTGAATTGCTCTGAACTGAATTAAAGCCTATAGAAAACTGCAGAAGCCTACGACTCTGCGGGATGTCTGGAAAAAAAGAGCAAGATTTCTGGTTCTGCTCTGAGAATTAGCAACTAACTGTCTCACCTCTGTGACATTTGTTCATGTAGCATCATCTGTTTACAAATTTCTTATGTGTGACTCAGAATAGCCTGCTGAAGCTGTTGGTAATATGGAGTTACGCAGGGATTCATTAATGCACATTCATACATACGTAATACTTGAATGTAGCTCTTCACCAGAACTCCACCTACGTTAAGAGGCCCCTTCCATTACCTAAACTCTAACTCAGTTTTCCCAAAGCACCATTTTGCCACTCGCACTGTTCATCCTGTTTCCCTAGAAGGGAATTTGTTGAGGACAAATTCGGGTGTCTTCCATCCACCAAGCTTTTCATGCGCCTGTTCTGAGAGGATCAGCTCCAGCTGGCAGCTTTGAATTCTGAGATTTTTTGACTCTTCACATACTATTGGACAGTACCATATATGGTGAAACCTTCAAATTTTGTTTGGGAACCAAACCAATCATAACAAGAGATCCTATATTCTCTGGGTTTAGAAAACTAAATTCTATTAAGAAATTAAATTTTGGAAGAAAGAAGCTAAGAGAAACAAGCCTTTTAGTAAGGGCAGAATTGTTACCAATTGGAAAAAAAAAACCAAAATCACATTCTTTGGCACAGACCAGTTGGCATTTTAGCAGCTGCACAGTGGAGTCCTTCAGTACAGTGTTACTTCAATGAGTGGCAGGTAGGGGCAGAGCACAAAGGGCAGAAGTATTTTGCTCCTGAAGAAAGCCTTCCCCAGAATCCAGCCTCGTCGGATGACGATGAGAAACTGAGCGGGAGGTTTGTGGAATTAATTAATGCAGTGCATTAAGAAATCTTAATGTAAGTAGTAGATTTTATTTCAACTGTTAAACACCTTTTAAAGGCAATTTAAAATAATGAAAACATACAATTAAAATATAGAAATAGATTTACCAACCTTTTTCTCTGTAGTCTAACAGTTTCCAAGCTGCTTAAACAGGTTTTGTAATTCTCATCACTGAATTCAGATCCTTTGACCTCACTCTGTTGCCTTTCACTGCTTACACTGGAATCAGAGATGGTAATACCATCATCATCCTGACAGTACTTACTTCAGATGCCTCTAGTTATCATCAAGTGCCCAATATTTTAGCTCTGAGATTTAGATCACACAGATAAAGGTGTGAAGAAAAGTTTGCAAAGGCTCTTTAGCAGTGAGAAAACTTTTCACTCTGTCCATTCTTAATTGTGTAAAGTTCCCCAATTAAATAAATAAAAAAAGCTTGAGGGATGTGTGATAGATGTGAAAAGACTGATGTTTAACTGAAGAACAGCTCATACTTAAGAAGTCCATACAGCAGTCAGTGTGCATTTATTTTTACTTGCCAAGTGCACATCACAAGTAGAACATTCTAGGCTTCAAGCACCAAAGACAAATATCCAAACCCACTTCATCAATTAGGTGTCTATAAAGGTACAGTTGAAGGGCAACAGCAGTAGCAAAGCCCACAGTGTGTTTTTTCTATCTTATTAAAGTGGTTTGGATCTTACTACCTAATCTTTTACAAAAATGACTAGAACAGTACTAAATGCAAGTAGCCATGCTGGCTGCATATAAATACACTCTGTTTCAGTGAACAAGGTGCAAATTGCAGAGGGATATTATCTACAAAAACAGAGATCACTTTTCTTTTAATGGGTCAGGTTTTTTTGAGTCAAAACATCACAAAAGATTTTGTAGAACCCTCCCCAGCATTTTAAACCAGCGAAATGTGGTGTTTGAGGAAAGGAGAAGCTGGACAACAACGGTACTTCACTTTGTTTTATTGTTCAATTTTTATAGTCGGGCAAATCAGCATTCTTATTCAAAATGAAGTTGTACAGAAATTATTTAGAAAGGAAGTTAGCTAAAAAATCATTACATTTGATTTAGGCCAATTCCTGACTTCAGTGGGATATCTGCCTGAGTAAGGAACACAGGATATGGCCTTCTATTTGAAGGAATCTCATTTTCTCCAGCACGCAGTCAACCAAGGAATCCCATTTCAGTTATTCTAAAGAGTTGCTCCTAAGATCACAATTAAAATTAGCCAGTATGAAGCTCACCAAAAACTTGATCCTCTTAAATAACCTCTTCAATGAGCCACACAAATTCACACTAACAGTGAAGGCAGACTAACAGTGTGTATCTTTTATACAAAAGAAAAAAATAAAAATAAGAAAACCAATCATAGCCAGATTTGTATTTGTTTGTGAAATACTCCAATTGTACTTACACAGTACATGCAAAAAAAATAATTGTTGGTGTTTTGTTTTTTAAATTCCAAATGCTTGAAATGCTTAGGAAAACTGCAGAATCACTATACATATTGCACTTTTCTGGTAAGTTGGGCTTCTAGGCTTCAAGGCAAAAACATCCAAGTACATCTATTGAGTAAAACAAGCATCTTCCTAACCCCCAAAAATGAACTGAATTTCTTCCCTGCAGTTTTCATTAAAACTCTAACACCGTTCTTTGCAAATTCTTCTGTGCTTTGCTCCTGAAGGACTGTTTTCACTTGTTAGAAAATCCAGATGATAGGAAAAAAAAATAAATCACCAAATCCCTAGGTAATTAATAGGTTTAACATACAGTGCACTACCCTCCTTCAGTCACAAACAAAATGAAGACAACACAGGTCATTAATATAGTTACACTTAGGCTTCAAGAACACTCTTAAAAAAAAAAAAATCACTTTTAATGGCAAGCCACAATTTTCTCAAAGCAAACCAAACCAGTAATGAACCATTTGTTTTGAGTGGATAGAATTACCCTTTTGCAGCTTGGTTTAATATTTGATTCCTTACACTGAGAAATCTTAGTACTTTTGCTCCAGCGTCAGAGAAAATGATGCAGTTTTAAAGAAAAAACTTCCAAAATGCTTGACACAAACAAGCTATTTACTCTTCAAGTTCTTTGTCAAAGATGTTATTAAAAAATTCTGTCCATTTCATGAACACAGGAAAGATCCCAGGATGTCTTGAGTCAAAGTGGTCCGTAAAGAAATTCTTTGGAATGTCTTAAGATTGGCTATAACTAGAGTTCTGGCTACCGTTTGGACCCTGTTCTCCTTCACTGTTTGGAAGAGAAACACAAAAAGACACGTCTCAAAACAACAGCACCATCCTGCATTTCTGTCTTTTGCAAATGAAAAACATTTGTGTATTTGAACAGTAATTTCAAAATACTCCGATGCAGCTCCATCCTGAATTCACTCCTGAAATCAACATTTCCTAAGTTCCCGTAACAGAAGCTTGTGCATAGATTTTGAATGTGCAGGTTCCAAATACTGATATTTAATCACAGTAATTAAACATGACATCAAACAGGCACAGTTCTAAAGAATCAGGCTCTGTCATTGGACCTAACACTCTCTTTTTAAACTGTATTGATCGGATTCTAATTGCATTAATGCTTTTCCACAAAAGAGCAAATATTCTCCTCCTAAACAATCAGACTGCACATTTACAACAGAAGAGCCTGCAGTGCACTATCATTCACTATGCCTCAAACATATCATCATACCTAAGAGAGTATTTTATTTTTTCCATATGAAAGGTGCAGTAAGTAATGGAGATACAGTACCTGTTTGGAGGTGGTTTTGGTTTAGGCATTTTGCTAAGAATAGTAGCCATCTCCTTCCTCTCATCAAAGTTCTTCCACTGCTCGTACAGCTTCAGAATAACCCTGATTATTTCTAAAATCTGATTTGAAAGAAACTAGATTTTAGGTCAATCACAATAGTGACTTTGGTATTTATGTCATCATTTGCAGCGTACAGTTAATTAACCATTCCTCAAATTAAGAAGCACAATTTTCACATTAGAAACAGAGCTGCCTCTGATATTATCCGGTCTGGCAACCAACCATTTCTGTAAAGAGTTTTTTGGTTTAACTGTTGAACTGAAGCCTGAACAGAACCGTTCTCTCTCTCCCACTCCATTTCCTTCCCACTGTATCAACCATTTCTCCTCCTAAAGCCAAAGGGCTGCTTATGCTTTATACTGCTGGGAAAACAAGGACACTTGGCAACATGTCTGTAGCTGAATGATCACGGATTACAAATGATTACTGTCTGTGTTCTATACCGACCAGGGGCACAGTGTTAAAAACAAATGAAACCAACACTGCTCTGAATTCTTTACTTCCAAAAATTAATAAATAAATAAATAGATAAATAAGTAAATAAATAAAGAGCTAAGAAGTGTCTCAATACTTTATAATAAAAATTGTTGAATTTTCAAATTCAATTTCCAGAAGTATACATATTCTCTACCAGTTTGGAGGCCATATTAATTTCCTGTTAATTTTCTAGTGCAATATTTTACATAGAAGGTGGATAAACACAGAATAACCTCAGTTGGAAGGGACCCACAAGGATCCAGTCTAACTCCAGCTTCATACAGGACCACCCAAAAAAAAAAAAAAAAAAAAAAAAAAATCAAACCATGTTTGCTTCATTATTTGTTTCACCACTTACTAAATTAATGAAGTGGACTTCTTCCCAGTTTATGGATTTTGATCAAATACTAGAACAATATATATCCTTGAAACAGAAGTTACATTTGGCTAGGAGGTCCATGGTGTTAATAATAATAATAATAATAATAATAATAATATAAAAATAATAAAATTCAAGCTTAGATTGTAGTCACTGGTATGAGAACAGAGACATTTAAACACTGAAACATGTTCAACATCAAGCTTATGATAACATTACATGTCAAACACGGATTGTTTCTCCTGTGCTGCCAATCTGCTTTTGCATGCCTGACAGTGTAGTTCACAGAGATTTGATTCATCACAGCATTCACACTGTGCT